GCCGGGTATAGAACTCTCTTCAGTGAAGTTCAGAAGGTTGATTTTGTTGAATGGCTAATACATGTAGGTGGGCAAAAGCACCCCGGTTTTGTACCGAAAGGAGAAACATATTGCGCGCCCAAAGGACGAAGATTTAGGGCTAAGGAAGAGAGCAGAAAAGAGCAGAGTGCAAAGTGCCGTGATACAATAATAGAACAGAGTAAGCTGGTCATATGAAGTGCTAGTGCTAGTAGCCAGTTGAGAAGGTGTGAATTCGATAGCTTGATACGCCAGTACACTGTTGAGTAGCAAGGAGGGGTCACAATTATGTAAGAGCTAACGACACCGCTATTTACACTTTGTCTGCAGAAGGTTCTATGCGTAAGGACTAAGGTTCATGATTGTACTCAAATCTGTGGACAGCAACTAAGGTACATGTACAAGTACCTGGAAGCTGCGTTAAGAGAGGTACGAAACCGTCTATCGCCGCGACCAGACCGAGACGTCCAGCTGCTTCTGCCCGGAGGGTCGGAATATGCAGATGATGTGGACTCCATCAGTACCGACCAAAAGTATCTAAAAAAATTGCCTTCCTACAATATCCTCTTCGTTAGCAGAGTGGAACTTGAAGATGAATGAGGGGAAGACGGAACACACCATGATAAGCAGACAAAAGGATCGAATAGAGGAACAGTGGCGACACACAATAAAGCTGGGCTCGATGCTTAGAGTGGATGAGGACATACATGTAGGCAGACGAAAGCGATTGGCTACAAGCGCACTGCACAGGATGTGGGGGATATGGCTGAGAGGGCAACACATCAGAGAGTCTCTACGAGTGCGCCTCTATAATGGCTTCATTCTACCAATCCTGCCTTATAACTGTGGCACATGGAGTCTCACGGTTAGTGTCAAGAAACGTGGAAGGCCGCGGAAACGCGAAGAGACAGATAGTGGTGATGCCACGAAGAGGCGAGATGACGGGACATTGGAGGAGACAACACGCAATGGAGCTAAGAATCGCACCTCGTCAATCAAGCAACATCTGTCAGCCCGTACCAATTGTCGTGAGTTGTACAGTGATAATGTTTTCTCAATATTGTCACGTGGTAGATGTGCGTTACATTTGGCTGTGTTAGAAGCTTTGTATATCCGTAAGTTAGATCCTGAACTTTGCGTACAGAAATAAAATGTGTTGTCGCTACAATTGTTTGGTGTTACTCCTCGTCGAGGTGGTAACAATGTAACTTAATTTGCTCACTATGTTGTTGTCACTATTATTATTTTCCTTCGAGTTTTGTGTCGTGCTAAACTTGATAATTTTCCACCTTGTCACGAGTGTTGTTATCTAATTATCTATACGCTATATAAGTTTTAGTCTTTCCAGCTTGAGCCATTCCCTGTATAATCCTTGATGAGAAGGGACCGAAAACGTTCGGATACTTATGACAAGTGCCTTATTATGACTGGATGTGTGTTTGCGTGGATATTTGCGACCCATAACTTACCTTCGTTTTAAAGTATTATCCGCCTCCGACCTCTTTAAAAAAAAATAATAATAATTTGAAACTCGGATGTTGAGCCATAAATAAATGTGGAAGAGAAAAGGACATATGGATACGATATATAGTATCATGTTACAGTGATGGAGAGTTACTCTTAACTCGTATCCATATGTCCTTTTCTCTTCCACAATAATAATAATAATAATAATAATAATGCTACAGCATTACATAATAGGTGTCAAACATAGTGCTAACGTATATAACTGAGTGCCGCCACAAAGCAAGAGGTGATACAGTGCAACATGACACAACATTTACATCTGATAACCAGCAATAATAATAATAATAATAATAATCGTAAAATGGCAATAAATAAGATAAATTGTGCACTCATAACAACAGCAAAAATGAAGAAAGTCAAGTTCCATAACGTTTTCTTGTGACTGTCATCAGTGGAACGCCGTCACATAAAAATGTAATAACTAAAACACACACTTATATACATGTAGCTAATATGGTTTCAGGTAGAAATACAGCAGCTAACAAGTACAAAAAGTGAAGTTTGCACCTTTGCAATGTGTGAATATAGTGTATGTGAGAAAGGTAGTGGCAGATGAATGTGATACTGTGTGAATGAATGTAATGGTGCGTGTGTATTACTTGACTTGACTTTCTTCATTTTTGCTGTTGTTATGAGTGCACAATTTATCTTATTTATTGCCATTTTGCTCCAACCCTTTGGGGTTGATTTTTTTTCTTCATAAACCCCCTCCTTTTTGTGGATGAGTGTGCTCTATATCATCTCATGTTACTCCACAAAAAAATTCAGGGGGTGTTTCCGCGGAGATAAGGCTGTTTGAGGTGTATTTCTAGGGGTGGGTGTATTTATCGATTTCGGTCTAAATTTGCTTGTTTTGGGGTCATATTTCAGATTTACCAGTTGTCTGGCTTCTTTTTGTGATTGCAAGTCCTTTCACACATCACAGTGAAGCATTTGAGCAAGAAAATCTGGCAATCAGCATTGACTACACAGAAAAATAGCAATTTTGGTACAAAAATGAACGTCGCAGAAATGCCCGTCCGCAAAGTACAATTGGGTGCACAGCTTCATAATTTCTTCATAGACATGCCCTTTTTATTCTATTTTTGGGATCCTCATACTTCATAGAAACTAGAAATATATAATTTTAGGGGGGTTACCGTGCATTTTAGACCTACAAAAATAAAAATAGGACAGAAAATTGGCCGATTTTCCACCATTCTTGGAATTGCTATTTTTCAGGTAATGTGATCATTCCTTGTGGTATCACTCCCATTTTTGTGTCAAAGCATTGAATGGTCCTCCAGATTGTTATAGTATACATGGAGACTAGATGAGGCCATGGTTCCTGGGCTTTTTAGCCCTTGATCTGGATATCGGCATGATCCATGCACATCGTTATTCATGATCCAGACCGAGGCCTACTGACCCTGAACGCAGTTCAGACCAGCTTTGCATCACAACTCTTGGAATCGTGCACTCCTAGTATTTCTCATAAGGCAACAGGCAAAGAGCTTGAGGAGGATAACAATAATATTATTATTATATTCTGGGCCAATAACTTCACAGTTTCATGTTTGTAGTACATGTACAATGTAGAGGCAGGTTCAACTCAATATTGGCAATGAACGACTGCTACTAGTGCTAGTAATTGTAGCACTCATTAGGTATAATCATAATACTATTCGCAATAACATGGAACAACCACAAGCATATGTGGGTGCATGCGCATTGCCCACATTGATACATACATGTACGCTTACATGCACATACTCACACTCACAATGAAGACCCCTTGCACACACAAATACATGTACGTCATATACGCGCACCTGCAATAGCATACACCCACATGTAAAATGCATGCTCTTGAGTTTAGTCACCATCTTCTGCTGTCCATGCACTTGTGCACGCGTCCGCACACACACAGACGTGTACTGCGCGCGCGCGTGCACACACACACACAAGATGTAGGCTCACACGCGTGCCTGCGTATGTGCATGCACGGTGCTTATGGGTACAGGTGCATGCATTCATCATAATAGGACTGGTGCGAGTAGTGTAGGTATATTTTCAAATCACTGGTGCTGTACAACACAACATTTACAAAATACTTCACACTCTGACAATAGAGAATAGTACTGCAAAACAACATACTCAATTTCAGTGCTGCATTTTATGCACATTATAATTCAAGTGGACGCAGGTGATGACTTACTGCTGGCGACGTTGGCAGCTGACAGGTCACAGCTTTCGTAAATAGCCCAAGTCACTGAGCAGTAGCTCACCAACGATTTACCACTCACTCAAGACTGCAATGTTTTCAGCGTAGCAATATATTTCGCCACTTGAGAATTAGAAGTGGATCCACTTACCAGAGTCTGTGCACCCACTTCAGTCTCTCTCTGCAAAAGGCGCTTACAGTAGGTTTTGGTCCCTGGTGTTACACAGCCATCGGGACGCTTGGCTCCGTTCTCCTTGGTCATTTTTTCGTCAAGCAAAATTATTCAGGATCTCGAGAAATCGAGCTGTGAAGTCAACTTCTTGCTCACACCACGTACCAGCGATGCTTTTGAAAACATGCCCTGCTATACCCACTGACACAACGGAAGAGAGAACAACAGGAACCTCGATGGGGCCCAGGGAAGACTACAGGTGAAGAAAGAAACAATATTCTCTGATATGACTGTCGATCGCGGAGTTCAAATTTTAGTAAGTTGAGATGGGACTTTCCCAACTTTTCGCACTTATCGGCAAAAACAAGACTTTTGCCTGCAAAAAACAGAGCGCCAGGCCGGCTGCGCAGCGCAGAAGGTTGGAGCCTAGGTTCGTTTTCAGGATGAAAGTGAAATGTATAAATCGGATGGTTTGGCAGCAGTGAGTAGTCTGGTGAATGCCGTGGCAACAACTGACTCTGTCAGGATTTTGGCATCTCTACGGAGTCAGGACAGACTGTCCTGACTCCTGAGAGATGCCCAAATCCTGTCAGTACAGCGACGCGTAGCGTAGATCTACACGTCACCGCTATGCCATGCGCCGACCAGTGCCTGTACTGGCAGTAGCGTGGTAGCAGTGGACCCATGCATCGTTTTGTGCGGTCGTGCGTGTTTTGTGTTTGTCTGTGTGCACTGCACCCCATTACCAATGTTTCGCAGCCGCACTACATAGTCATTTGATCGTGTCGTTCGGATTCATACGATCTACCTGATCTACGGTGCTGGCAACTGAAATCCGACCCTTGAGCAGTGCGCTCACATCGCAAAGACCCGAAATAGAGGCCGCTACATGTAGAAAGTAAACTCGCCGCCCAGGTGGTCGGATTTCAGTTGCCAGCACAGTCAGTACCTGATCTACTCCGGCTCTACTCGTAGATCTAGTCGTCGACGTCGAGTCATGTCATAGCATGCATCGAGGTGTAGATCTCCGTTTCGGATGCCCTAAGATTCTAGGATCTCATTTTTGTGATAACCACCCCAAAGCAACGGCAGCTGATGAATGCATCGCCGGAGCGGATCGGGGCTAGCCGTCGTGAAAATAATTAATCAACATAGCTAGCAGGACTCCCCCTTCGCGGTTCAATTATTTGGCGACGAATGAAGGGAGGAGGGATGGCTTAGCAGCCCCAGCAAAGGGCCACGATGCCGGAGTTGGCTCGTTCTGGCCTGGAGCCTTCGCCGAGCTCCAAGCGACGAGGCGATTTGCAAAGCGGCTGGCATGTGGCGGCGACGTCGGTTTTCGGCGATCGTAAGCCGAACAGGTGAGATTTGCAAGCTAATTACTCGGCGGACGGTAGTTCAGTGGCCCCGGACTACTGTTCGTCCAAAGTCTGTTTACATCACTAGCCAGAGCGCACTATGTAGCAGCGGGTTCCTTGTCCGTCCTTGCATCGATTGAAGAAAGGTTGCTGCAACGACAATGCAAATAATAATACGAGTTCATACTGTATCGTGTATTGCGTTAGCCAAAAGGATGGGAGGGGGAGAGACCAGTCGGCTAAGGCAAATGCATGTAGGCCCATCAATGATTATTGAACGTCCCCTATCAGGACTTGAGACTCTACAAGCAGGATTCGCAATGCACGTACACACCTGCATGTACAATAGGGCTTGAAAGTGCTACGTCACAGCATAGCAACAATTTCAAAAATTCAAAAATTGGATCCACTTGGATCCAGTTTTTGTATGGATCCAAGCACATTTCAAGCGGTCTTACCCACAGCATGGTGATGTAGCCAGTGAAACTGACTGATTTGGCTACTGGGGGCGGGGTTACAACTGGTGGCGAAATAAAAGTCACACCTGCATGCGACATGAGTGGGTTGCTATGCACCCACATACTTAGGCAATAGCAAAGTCACACCTTAGTGGATCCAAAAATAGAAATCTGATGTCAACTTACTACTCCCTGGCCGTTTTGACGTCATCACTTTCAAGCCCTATTCACACGCATTGGAATGAATAAAGTCGCACGTGTGCACACATACACACATTGACAAACACACTCTGCATGCGAGTGCAAACACGTATGCACGCACACATACACACGCACACATGCACACAGGCACACGTACATACATGGACACAAACACACACACACACACACACAAGTGCACACACACACACACATTTTTCCTGAAGTAATGGTGGACAGCACACCAACTAATTACTTACAACACTGCAGATGTAGCAACTTGATATTGGATTCCACCAGCAATTTGCAAGGTTGAGTAATGGCCTGCAACTACTTTAGCCTGCTCTTGCAATACATCTGTCTTTTTGATCTTACTTGTTGTATTATCTCTCCTCTGCATTCATTTCTGTCCGCCTTGTTTGTGTATTGTGTGCAGCTCATGGTCCCCACTTACTGTTCAGAAACAGTTCCTCACGTACTCCGAGGTAAGCAACACGCGTGTATAATATTGTCGGGAAGCCGCAGAGACGTGGGCGGGTGGAACCAATCGGCTACGGGGGCGGCGGCGTCGTCGTCGGACATGCTAGACAAGACACGATAGCATTTTTTGTTTGTAGAATTACGCGATTTTCTCGAAGGTCGAAGGGCTGTCCAGATCCTTCAGTGAAGGTTCACCTCCCAAGGTTTAAAACGTAGGGGTGAAACGATTACCCTTTAAGGTTACAAACGGGTACCTGGCTTAACGGGCGGGTTATCGGGTACCCTTTAGCAGCCAATAGTGACAGTTACTATACAATAGCATTTCGCATTTCGTACCAGGAGTACAAAGTCATGCAATTCACAGCAAGTGCACTACATTGCAACAAGCGCAGCATACACACTTACTGTGCTACATGCAAAACAGTCACAACTGTCATAAGTAGCAGGATCGAAAACCAACATCACATTAAAACTGTACATCGAACTGTACGACTGTACAAGCCAGCTAAAAATACCGTACTCTAACGTCGTACACGACTAACGGGTACTCGTTTGCTAATGGATGAGCAGCTAAACAAACGGGTACCGGGGTACCCGGATCACCCCTATTTATACATTTTTTGTACAAAGAAAACTTAAATGCCAAACAGCCAGGGGAAGCACGCACAACATGAATAGTGGTGGTGGGGGGGGGGGGGGGGTAGGGAGCTCCGCCGACCTAGGGTCTCGACTTCATGGCCGCCTAGACGCACTGTTGACTGCAGCACCCAACTAATTCCTACACCCTGGACCATTGGGTATTACTAAGGAATTCTTCATTTTATACTTCTCGTCTTTTGCGAAGTTGTCAGGAGAAGAAGACTGATCAGACGAAATGCGTACATGTACATGTATTCCAATATACGAGTGGACGCACACCCGTACAAACTTTTGGACCCGGTAATGATCTTTTGGGGGCACAAACTAACTTTCTGACTCACCTTGCACGCGTTGTATAACAGTGATTTTCTCACGTGCATGTCGTACGATATCACATGTGCATACGCAGGAGAAAAGGGGGGGGGGGGTTACGAGACAAAATATGACTTATATTGGAGTTGGTTGTCATCATCCAAACAGTTGTTGTTGTTGTTGTCGTCGCTGGTGTCGGTGTTGTTTTCCTTGTTGTTCTTCTGTGCGCAGAGGGGAGACCATCTCGCTATTGAGCAGCTTCTCAGAGACAAGAGAGCTTTGGTAAGGGTGATATTCCTTGGTCGTTGGAGTATAGAGGGTGGGAGAGGGGGAGGGTTTGGGAGGGGGGGGGGAGGGGGTTTGTGCTTCTGGTATGGGGGAAGGGGGGGGGGCGAAGGGAAGAGTTGCATTTGTGTGCGTGAGTGTTTTAATGTGCATATGTATCCTTTTTCTGCACCTCACCCTCACCCTCACCCTCACCCTCACCCTCACCCTCTTACTGAGATTTTGTGAGGGACCCCACTTCAGGGGGTGTCGGCCGTGTTTGGGGGGGGGGGGGGCTCACTAGGCAATTGAGTCATCTTTCCAAGGTTTCTTTCGAGCCTTTTTCCCCTCTCCCGGGGAAACCCACGTGCCCAGTCTTAGCAGTGAACAAGTAAGTGTGTTTGTGTGTGTGCTTGTGTGCCCGCACATGTTCGTGAGTGCTTGCATGTGTGTTTGTATGTATGTGTGCATGCATATTCATGTGCATGTGTGTGTGTGTGTCCGCATGTCGCCGCAGATTAACGTGAACTGGAGGCATGAGGATAACGGCGACACAGCCTTGATGAGGGCTGCACGCAGTCACGATGAAAATGTAACTCATCTCCCCGATAATCTAGTCTTCGCATCTTTGTATTTGCATTTGTATTTATGGATTCTCCACAGGCCTTGGCCTAAATCGAGGGAGTTTCCGTCAACAGTTCATGAAGAAGAAGAAGCTGAGGAGAAGAAATGAAAAATAAAAAGATAGAACGACGCGGGGTGGTAGTGATTTAACACGGTGCTCTATGACATCGCCACTCCACATCTATTCCATAGAATGTAATATGACACCTGCATTCTGTACTTAGTACAAGATCGATAGTGAGACCAACACCGCCTTGTGCAGTATTCATGCTGGATGTACTCCCAGGTCCTGCTGGCAGGAACAGAATGTTGTTTGATAGTGGCCAATTGATGAAAATTAAGGAGCAGGAACCCATGCAGCCTCTGTTTTGATGGTGCAGTAAAACTGCTGGTCAGAGTGCTACCATGTTGTTGAAATTGCTGCTTCGTATGTGCGTGTGTATGTGCGTGTGTATGTGCGTTTGTATGTGTATGTGTATGTGTGCATGCATGTGTGTATGTGTGAATGTGCACGCACATGTGTGCGTGCGCTCATGTCGGTGCACACGAGTGTACGTTTCTGCATTCGTGTGTGTATGTGTTTGTCATGACGTACAGATGGTTCGTCTGTTGCTGATGCATGGAGCTGATGTCACACTCAGAAACAATGCCCGGCAACAGGCCATTGAGGTCACATCCTTTAGCATTCAGGAGTTGCTTCTGTGTCCGAATAAGGACAAGCTATTTGCCCATGCAGCCTGGCAAGGTGACGCTAAAGTCGTCAAGGAGATGCTGGTTAGGGTTATTTGCTGATACTTCTGTTGTTGCAGTGTGGTTTTCTAAAGGATGCGTCTCCTGCTGTTCATGTACATGTGTGCCTACACACGTGCAAATGTGTTTGCGTGTGTGTGCACGTGTGTGTGTGTGCACGTGTGTGTGTGTGCACGTGTGTGTGTGTGTGTGTGTGTGTGTGTGTGTGTGTGTGTGTGTGTGTGAGTGTGTGCATGTTTCTATGTCTGTACTCAAACGGAACTGAAATGTAGCACAATTATGGCAGACACAGTACTGGAAGCAGGAAAAAGATGGGCAGGACGAACAAGTCCTTTCGGTGCTGCTTCCCGAGGAGCTGTATGTGCACCTTCATCGATATGCGGTACAGTCAGACCTCGCATAACCGCACACATCCGTTTTCCACGAAAATATCCGGTTAGGCGAGGGAACCGGATAATCGAACACACATACTGATACGTATGCATGGCATGTGTTGTAAATCGGTGTTAAACAACGAATTTCTTCCGGATGGCGAGGGATCCGGATAAAAGAGGATCGGATAAGCGAGGCCTGACTGTATTGAATTCCTACTGATGCGGAAAACTCAGTGTAATCGAGTCTTACGAGAACCATAACAATTCTTTTCTGGGTTGCGTGTACGATCCTGACGTATGCCGACTTGTAACCCGAGAGCTGTGTTTCATTCTCTTTTGCTTTGTAGAGACGGACGCCTGGCGACGACATCGTCAACAGCGAAGGTCGACCCGCTCTTCTTCTGCTTGCGGAGAGCCCTCGTGTCTTCGCAAAGCGTGAGTACTCAGTATTCCGATCACATGTCACTCTTGTTTTCCTCTGCAATGTCAACATCTTTCCAAGGTACTGTAAGGCTATAAATGTTCGGCACATTTAAATTTCGGCCTCCCAGGCCTAAAACACATTACGGGCGTGTTAATATTTCAGCCTGTACTGCTGCTACTGCTGCTTGTACACGCTGCCACACTGGAAAGAACCTTCCATAACAACTGCTTCAACACAATCGCCGTATCCCTGCAAACCTCTGGCTACAACGTGGCTTGCGCGATGTTCACAAGCTCTCAAACTAGTTGCAATGTAGAAATTCTGAAAATAGAATCAATTTTTCCCTTGTGTTCCTATAGTGGAAAAAGCCCTTCTATCAAACTATCGCCCAGCAGCGGTTGTCCAGCAGCTAGCCAGTCATCGGAGGTTAGTTGTGTAGATGTTCTATACTGTACAGTGCTGTGTTGTGCTGTGTGTGTGTGTTTGTGCGCGTGTATGCGTCCGCATGTGTGTGTGCGCCATAACTGCAACCGTGGAAAACTTCTTGCTGCAGCCGATAGGGAATCACTGCCGCTGATCTGCATGCATTGCCCAAAGCGTTTCCGACGACAGCGAGGCACCAGAAGTCCTGCCAATCACGGTGCCCTCCAAACTCTGGCCCCCTCCGGGGTGACATTGCCCAATGGGCAGTCATGCTATAGTAGTAGTAGTGTGTGTGTGGGGGGGGGGGTATGTGTGGGTGTGTGTGTGTGTGTGTGCGCGCGTGTCGAATGTGCGCATGCATTCATGTGCATGTGTAAGCATGAGAACAGCTTTTTTTTCTTAATATGGACGCTTGGAGAAAGTCCATCACTTGTAGCCCATATTCATCAGTGTGAGGCAAAGTTGCAAACGGGAAGAGTCTAAAAATAATTGACTGTCACCACCCGGACTCGAACCAGGGACCCTCGCCTAAGTCCAACAATGTTCTACCACTCAGCTATGGTATGGTCGTCATCCAAGCAGCAACCGTTCAAAATTCTTTTCAGACTTCAAAACTCCACATAGAGTGAAACCTGTCTAAGAGGACCACCGCTCAAGTTGAACCTTCAACACGTAGTCTCTGTTACCAGGTGGTCTCCTTATCCAGGGTCATTTGACTGGAAATAGCATCCCTTCGTCCTGGGTGCTGTGGTCTTCTGGGACAAGTGGTCACCTTATCAGAGTGGTCGCCTTGACAGTTTTTTTGTATCTTGTTTGCTGTGTCCTCTGCTGCAGTGATATGAGCGTTTGCGACGAGGACGGTCGCAGTGCACTACACTTGGCTGTGGAAAGCAACAACGACTATGCGCTGAGCATTGCTGTGGCTCTAGTCGACTCTGGCTTTGATACAGGTAGGGGACCGCCGTATCCTTGAAATACCCCCCCCCCCCCCCCACACTCCACTGCAGTGTTTTCTTTTCACTAGGCTCTCGGGTGCACGACAAGAACATAGTGGTAGTAATTAATTTATTCTCCTTGTCGTACAGCTGAGAGCAGCCTGTTCAGGGATGGAGGTGTTCACTGGGGGACTTGCCTTTCAATAAATGTGAGACGTTGATGTAAAGAGTCCTGGGTTTCAGGTCTGAATACCAGTGTCATTTGATGCAGAAATTCAGACGTATTTCTTAGTGGGAATGTCGATCTCCGCAAGTGGCTGACAATAGGAGTAGTTTTCTGTTTGTGTGTGTGTGTGGTATGGTGCATGGTGTTTGCGCGTGTTTGTTTTTTGTGTGTGTGTGTGTGTGTATGTGCACGTGTGTATGCGCATGTGTGCATGCCTGTGTGCATGAATTTTGTGTGTGTATATCCGCATGGGCGTGTGTTTGGTTTTATTGATTTCTGTGATGTCCTTTATCCGATACAGACACGAGGGACAAGCTGAGTCGCACTCCACTGCACACTGCAGCCAGCTGTGGCCATACGGGTATGATGGAAATGCTGCTGCATCGCGGGGCCAATGTCAACGCCGTCGATGAGCAAGGCTCTTCCGCGTTACACCATTCCGTAAGTTGTCCTGCTCGTGATTCCTGGAACTCGCACGAGAGCGACTGGTGCTCCAAACGCCCAAAACGTTTTCTCTGTCGCAAGGTGTAGGGTTTCACATCGCAAGTACTTCGAATTACTCATTACTATTTTCTGATGATCGCTTACTGCGTGAAACGCGGAGTAAAAACACTTACACCATTCCGTAAGTTGTCCTGCTCGTGATTCCGAGAACTCGCATTAGAGTGACTGGTGCTCCAAACGCCCAAAAAGTACTCTCTGTCGCAAGGTGTATAGTTTCACATCACAAGTACAGTAAAACCTGTGACTAACGACCACCCCTTGGGGTCGGAGAAAGCGGTCTTTAGTGGCAGGTGGTCCTTAGTTAGAGGTTTGCACCGCACAACCATAATATGATGTGAGACCGACCGTGCCTGTCGAAGTGGTCGGTAGTACCAGGCTGGTCGCTAGTCACGGTGGTCTTTAGTTACAGGTTTTACTGTAGTACCAGGCTGGTCGCTAGTCACGGTGGTCTTTAGTTACAGGTTTTACTGTAGTACCAGGCTGGTCGCTAGTCACGGTGGTCTTTTGTTACAGGTTTTACTGTAGTACCAGGCTGGTCGCTAGTCACGGTGGTCTTTAGTTACAGGTTTTACTGTAGTACCAGGCTGGTCGCTAGTCACGGTGGTCTTTAGTTACAGGTTTTACTGTAGTACCAGGCTGGTCGCTAGTCACGCTGGTCTTTAGTTACAGGTTTTACTGTACTTCGAAGTATATAGATCAGAAAAGGCAGTATGCGTATGTATGGTGCACTGTACCTGAGCGTATGTATCTGTCAGTGTCTATGTGTTTGCAGTGTTTCTACCATTCTCCTGGGTGGCTACCAACAGCCAGTACATGCCGGAGTATGTGGTGTGATGTGTGCAAGTGGATGTCAGCAAATGAATGAAAAATTGAAAAACTGAAAAACAAGGAAAGATTGGGATCCACTGGCCAGAAAAAATGCCACTTCAATCAGCTTTGCTGTGTAGACCAGGCTAAAATTAGTGGAGGTCAATTCATCAGCCTTGCAAGCTGTTGGATGGTGTAATCCCAGCACAAGTTGCTATGTCTAACATAGCTTGTTCGCTATCATCGCTTCAGCGATGGATGTGGAAAGCATGTGTGTGTTGTAGTTAATGTGTTTGTGTGTGCATATGTATCTGTCTGTGTGTATGCATGCACACATGACCGTGTATATAAGCCATGTTCTGCTGTCTCTGTGTCACTCTATGTCCATACCCTCCATTACGCCAGGCTCTTGGTGGCCATACAGAAGCGTGTAGTTTGCTACTGGAGCAGGGGGCCAACCCGGCACACAGAGACCAGGAAGGTACAGTAGTGAAGTCTTGAACTGTACAGTGTGACCACTGTTATTAGGCTTTATGCCTGTTTTGATTCCCACTTTAAATAAACAGGGGCATCGGACACGCTACGGTCACTATCGTTTTGACCATACTTTTGCCCAGGTACCCCGTGAATCAACAAAATGCGCTGATTTGGGCTCTAAATATCGGAATATTTGCATGTATTTGCATGCGCATGTGTGTGTGTGTGTGTGTGTGTGTGTGTGTGTGTGTGTGTGTGTATGAGCATGTGCATGCGCTCGGCGTGTTGGCGACCCATACTTCTCTCTGTTTCTGTCTCTTTCTCTCTCTCTCTCTCTCTGTCTGTCTCCCCTGCTACTGTAGGACAATGTGCGTATGACCTAGCGTCAAGTCCCAGTCTTCACAAGAGATTAAAACGTGAGTAACATCGCCATCATAATACCGTAAAGTACCGTTGATCCGCCCCCCCCCCCCCCACGCCATGTCGCTTCCCAGCTGGGTTTTCGGCAAGGGGCGGGAACTAGATCAAGGCTGTCAAGTGCAGTACGATGTACAACAACGTAGAAGTTCAGACTCGATGTTCTGGATTGTGCACATTTTCATCTTGGATTGGCAAGTATTGTGTACAGCAGTGCATGCGTCGGTTCAACATCGTATTTTCGTTGTATACGCCGAAGTCGCTTCACAGGTAGAAAATCGACAGGGGGCGGGAATTAGAGAGGGGGCGGATCAACGGTACTTTACGGTACTGGGCAAGCCAGTTTTGTGTTTAGCTATCACGCTCGACCCTTTCGGGTATATCATGTACATTTCTCACTCCTGCCCCTGTGGCATTCTTGTGGTATTCTTGTGGTATTTGTGTGGTGTTCGTGTTGTATTCTTGTGGTACCCGTATGGTATTTATGTCTTTGTGCCGTCATTTCTCCTTTTCTTCTTTTTGTTTGCGCAGAGGCGTGGCAGGAGTCCAGCACGGTGGCTGAATCTGACAGTCGCCTGTGGCTGGGGAGGTTGGATGTAGAGGCGTCGGCGGCGGGGGGTGATGGTGTTAGCGACTCACCTGCTCACTCCGATGACTCCATTGCCGACGAGACGGTGGAGAATATCGGTGAGACTACTCGACCGCATACCGAATACAGAGAAACCTCATTACGATGAACCAGGAGAACACAACCCCCCACATGTGGAACCAGTCCGGTTGGTCTGGCCATGGCCGGAACAACGTTTTGGTCACCAACGTGTGTTTACTGCTGAGGAGGTCATGTGGGTATACCCTCCATATCATACACAAACTGTATGAAAGGCTAGGGTATGGCCGGACCAACCGAAAACTGCTTCTACCTATGCTGTTAGTGTGCAGTTCTAGTATGAGTGCTATCCCGACGACGGAATTTCCAGTGGACGTCATTTTGGGGGGGGGGGGGTGTAGTTATAGTCTTGAAATTACACTGAGAAGACCAATTGGCCCAGTATCAGCGAGAATCGACCTTCGGGTGAAAATCATTTTTTTCAGTATAAGTCATTTTCTGCAACGGCAAAAAAACTCTTCCTTCGGGCTCTGTACATTCAAACAAAAAATTAGTTCATCGCAACAATGAATGCTTTTGATCGTCCCAGTAGCAGGAGAGTTCACTCACGATGGCCAGCTAGCTGCCCTCCTGCTCTGCCAGAAGTCATTGGATTTCCTAGGCAGGAATCGTCGCGTCTGATAGAGAACGACGACAGTTTCCAGAAGATGTTTTCGTCGACGCGCAATTCCTATTTAGCGACGAGAATTTCAACTTGATTTAGGCGCTCCGCCAAAGGAACTCTCTGCGGGCAAAAAATACTTTCTGACATCTGAAAATCCTTGTAGGGCCCTTCTGAATTACGTACAGCTCTGCTCAGGAGAAATACTCAACGAGGAGAAACTAGTCTAGTGAGGCGACGGCAACAGAGGTAGACGAACTGAAACGCCCTGGATCAACTCGAGTCAGGACGAAAGAGGGTTGCCGCTAGTGACATGATCTGAATTTTCCCAGGCTCCCACACTGGACTCCGTGGTGAACACCAAACCCCTTGGACGGGGCAAGAGCTGAACATTGATTGATGAGCTACGAACTCTCTGCGCTCAGTGCTGGAATCATGGCGCACTGACGCGCATGCAGCCAGTTCCCACAGAGCTCAAATTTCACAGAGGTGCAGCAGTGATGGACTACCTCTAAATCGTGTATGAGATGAAGTGTGGGGTGTTAGAATGTTGTGCCTGTGTCGTATTCCCTGTGGGATGCACAGACTGGCACTCCAGGTGTAGTTGTAGCCACCCTCCCTCGGCCTCCTGTTCTGCACTTCTGTGGATTTTCAGCAGACTTGGGATGGCGTTCAAACAGTTTTCATTGGTATGCAGTGATGAGGATCAAGGCCATCCATGCTCTATGCCAGAGGTTGCCCAAGAGTTGTTTTACAACAAAAACTGGATGGATGATTTATTACACTGTCTATTTTTTATTTATTTCACTGTAACACATACATGTAGTATTCCGATGTGGAAAACACTGTGATAAATTGTTGTATTTCCTGATATATACCTATGCTTGTTCGAGAAGCTTCTGGGTCATCAATATTGCTTTGTTTGGTCTAATACTTTGCCATGTGATCACTAGATACCTATAGATGACAACAGCAGAAAAAAGTCATTTTGTGACAAATCACCCTAAGGTCCATTTCCGCAGATACTGGGCCAATATTTGCTTGAGAAGAATGGTGTACTAGCTGTGCTAGTACTTGTTAGCAACAATCCGAACTAGCGCACACACTGCACTGCATTGCTTTGTACTGCATTCAAGACTGACGTCATGCTCTTTGTTTTGCTGCGTAATCACAAATGGCACCAGCCCATTTTTGCGGAAAAGAAAAACAAATCTTGCTTGCCCTGTTGTGCTCTTCCAGACAACGGATCGTGCTTCAGCAGTGTTTCTTTTCTTTTTCCGCCAGCTGCGGATGCTCGTGGCCCAGTAACCAGGCACGAAGAGGTTGGACACCATCGACGTGAACCTATGGCAGATAGCTGTCACAGGCCATGCACACCCAAAATGCGCTCAATGTAAGACGGTCCATCCAGGGGCGGTTTGTGTCCTTTTCGTCCCGAAGCCAGCAGCATTTGCCTCCAGTGGTCGCAACCATACCAGCGACGGCCAAGAAATCTGCCGCAACTTCAATGGAGGTCGCTGTTCTTCGTCGCCGTGCCGCTTCTCCCACACCTGCAGCCAGTGTGGCAAGGACCACCCATGCATCATGTGCAACCAGCGGCAGCGCGGAGCCAATTGGCCACCCCGCCGCTCCTAGCAGAATGGCTACTGAATCGCTTGACTCGGTACGTAGCTTCTTTCCTATACACTCTGCAGACACCACACTGCTAGCTGACCACTTTGCCCGCCTGTTACGTAACCACTCAGATCAATCATGTGTTGCGTATGTTCTCCATGGCCTGCGCCGTGGCTTTACTCTTGGATCTGCCGGCCAACACGACATTTCGGTTTTCTCTAATAATCTACCATTGGCTTTCACTCACTCGGCACTTATATCCGAGCAATTAGCTGCTTCCTGCGCCCGCAGCGAGACCACAGGCCCATTTCCGTCACCTCCATTTCAGTTCATGCGCTCTGGTATTGGTGCCATCCCCAAAAAGAACGGCAAGCCGCGAATGATCCACCATCTGTCTAGTCCGGAAGGCACCGGCGCGAACGACAGCATTCCTGCCGAGCCGCTCTCTCTGCACTACGCGAGCATTGGCAACGCGATCAACATCATCATGTCATGCCCACAGCCTGTGTAGTTGTCCAAGCTCGATGTACGCAGTGCATTTCGGCAGATCCCAGTCCGCCGTCAGGACTTCGCTGGGAAGGCTCCTACTACTACGAGCGCTTTCTGCCTTTCGGCCTCCGCTCCAGCCCAGCTGTCTTTGACTAAGTAGCCACAGCAGTCAACTGGATCATGCAGCACGAGTTTGCTATAGATCACCGGCTTCACTACCTCGATGACTTTCTCGATATCTCCACTGGTTTGGCTGCAGCCAACCAGCAACTCACCATCCCCCTCCGGGCGTTCACATATCTCGGCACTCCTCTTTGCTCCATCCCAGCTCGAAGGGCCATCACCAACATTGACCTTCCTTGGTATTGTCCTAGACTGCGAGCGCCACGAAGCTCGGCTACCAGAGGACAAGCTGTCCGAGATCCGTGCGCCACTCATGGCTACTATCAGCGAGCGCAGCATCGGCCAGCGTCAACTCGAGTCCCTCCTGGGGAAGCTCACTTTCGCTGCCCGAGTCATCGTTCCTGGACACACATTCATGCGTGAACTATGATCAGCGTGCCCTGAACTGTGTCTGTGTATGCGAGTGCGGTGCATAAAGCCCACCTTGAGAATGGGTTTGCTGGCCCCTTAGTAGATGCGTGGCTTCTGAAGAGGGTGTTGAAGGGCATCCAGCGATGCCATGGTACGGCTGCACTCACCCCTCGCCTTCCTATAACTATGCCAATCCTACGACACCTGACGGATGCACGCCGGAAAAGTAGTATCCTGAATGGCCATGACAAGCTGCTCTGCCAAGCCGCCATGCTGCTTCTTTGTATTTCTTCGGTGCGCTGAATTCACTAATGGCATCACACGGGGCTGTACTGGCTCCCCTGGTGACGGACGCCTGCAACTCTTCCTGCTTTCATCCAAGACGGACCCATTCGGTAAAGGCGTTACTAGTGACATTGGCCCGTCTGTACCGCCGTACTGCCCGGTCCGTGCCATTGTTAGCTACCCATCTGTCACTCGTCGCGAGGGACCGGAGCAACTCTTGTTCGTACTCTCGAACAGACAGCAGCTGACCAGGCAGTCATTCACAGTAACAGTATGGTCTCTTGTCTCTGCGGCCGGTGTACCATCCCAGTCGAACTACTCCGGGCATTCGGTCCACATTGGTGCAGCCACCACTGCTGCTATGGCTAGTGCCCCCGACTCCTTCTACCGAGTGGCAGGTCAGTGGAAAGAGCGATGCGTGTCTACGCTACATCCAGACTACAACAAGCGCATAGCGCCAGCTATCATCCCGGCTTGCTGCCGTGCCATGGATGCCATGATCCCCAACTCGGGTGAGTAATGAGCTACTGAACTCTAGCTGCGCAATGCTTGCCTGTGCTGACATTAATTGACCCTTGCTGTGCGTCAATAGTGCTTAGCTAACGGAGTGCTGGTTTCATGGGTCCACTCTCACAACTGGTGTTATCTAGCTATTTGCTGCGGCTCTGCCTTGCGCTATATTACATCCATTTAGCATTGCAGCTCTACGTTGAGCTAACAGCAGCTCTACTTTGAGCTAACAGCAGCTCTACTTTGAGCTAACAGCAGCTCTACTTTGAGCTAACCGCAGCTCTACTTTGAGCTAACAGCAGCTCTACTTTGAGCTAACAGCAGCTCTACTTTGAGCTAACCGCAGCTCTACTTTGAGCTAACCGCAGCTCTGCTTTGAGCTAACAGCAGCTCTACTTTGAGCTAACAGCAGCTCTACCTTGAGCTAACAGCAGCTCTACTTTGAGCTAACAGCAGCTCTACTTTGAGCTAATCGCAGCTCTACTTTGAGCTAACCGCAGCTCTACTTTGAGCTAACCGCAGCTCTACTTTGAGCTAACCGCAGCTCTACTTTGAGCTAACAGCAGCTCTACTTTGAGCTAACACCAGCTCTGCTCTGAGCTAACACCTGCTCTACTTTGAGCTTCAAACCAGTTGTTTCGAAACCAGCACTCCTCAACCCAAAGATGCCTCTTTGTTGACTTGTTTGTGTGAGGGATGGGGCTAATGGTCTACTAGCTGTGCTAGTACTTGTTAGCAACAATCCGAACTAGCGCACACACTGCACTGCATTGCTTTGTACTGCATTCAAGACTGACGTCATGCGCTTTGTTTTGCTGCGTAATCACAAATGGCACCAGCCCATTTTTGCGGAAAAGAAAAACAAATCTTGCTTGCCCTGTTGTGCTCTTCCAGACAACGGATCGTGCTTCAGCAGTGTTTCTTTTCCCACCATCCCTCCCTATCCAACTTATTCACACCATCATAATAATTATTATCGTACCCACTAACCGGGTCCACTCTCACAACTGGTGTTATCTAGCTATTTGCTGCGGCTCTGCCTTGCGCTATATTACATCCATTTAGCATTGCAGCTCTACGTTGAGCTAACAGCAGCTCTACTTTGAGCTAACAGCAGCTCTACTTTGAGCTAACAGCAGCTCTACTTTGAGCTAACCGCAGCTCTACTTTGAGCTAACAGCAGCTCTACTTTGAGCTAACAGCAGCTCTACTTTGAGCTAACCGCAGCTCTACTTTGAGCTAACCGCAGCTCTGCTTTGAGCTAACAGCAGCTCTACTTTGAGCTAACAGCAGCTCTACCTTGAGCTAACAGCAGCTCTACTTTGAGCTAACAGCAGCTCTACTTTGAGCTAATCGCAGCTCTACTTTGAACTAACAGCAGCTCTACTTTGAGCTAACCGCAGCTCTACTTTGAGCTAACCGCAGCTCTACTTTGAGCTAACCGCAGCTCTACTTTGAGCTAACAGCAGCTCTACTTTGAGCTAACACCAGCTCTGCTCTGAGCTAACACCAGCTCTACTTTGAGCTTCAAACCAGTTGTTTCGAAACCAGCACTCCTCAATCCAAAGATGCCTCTTTGTTGACTTGTTTGTGTGAGGGATGGGGCTAACTAGTATTTGTGCTTCTATTGGACGCACCACTGTGTATTTACTGGGCAGAAAACGAGGATAAGAAGAAATCCTGTTATTGCGGGAAAAAAATACCATTGGTCCCTCGGTGGTCGTCCCAAAGATGTTTTGATGTAGAAGCTTCTGAAAGTCTGCAATGTAGCCTTTGAGAACAGTGTGTTGTGCTATCAATTTCAAAGTTGTGAGAAACCTACTCACAAACTCCAGCACAGCACTGCTAAAAGAATCGGCTTGGATTGTACTGTCTACCAGCTCTTGTTCACACCACGTATTCATGAGGTCCTTGTCAGATTTCAGTGAATGTCGCTAACTTTTCAACGTACCCTGATGTTCTGTTCTCTGCTGGTTGTAGATGAACACTACAGCAGTGGTGATGAGACTGAGCTACGCTACAAACCGTCTCTATTCATCACTGAGGTATGTCAGCTGTAGGCTAGGATCACTCCAGTTGCTCTTCTCACTCTTTTTCCTCTCCAACTACGGTAGGTTTCCGGAGAATAAGCCGCACTGCAGTTTACGCCGCAGGCAGATATTTTGCGATGAAATGCAGACATCTACCCGGTATTTCACAGTTCATTGGGCTATCATAGTGACATTTTTGTGGTAAACTATGAGTGTTTAGTTAGAGTGCTCAATAATACGGTACTTCCTCTATAGCTATATCTCTCGAACCAATCATGCGCACACTCTCTATCCGTGATGCGCATGCGTACACACGCCCCCACACACACTGCTGCACAGTCGCTACCACCACCAGTACATTCACCATCAGGTCCACCGCTGCCCTACCCCCCCCCCCCCCCTCTACAAAACACACATACACCCACCCAAAATCACTAACAATTTCACAAGAAATTTCACAAGAGCTCTTAGATAATTGTACTTGTGCAGAGGTCAGATCTAACATACAAGTGCTCTGTCCCCTCTCCGGCACTATGACCCGTGTACCAGGGTCCAATTTCTACACCTTGAACAATGTGAACCTGATAATCAACTGAAGATGTGCAGACATATACATACCTCAGAGGGCAGCTCAACTCAAAACACCAAATTTTCAGGCATGGCCCATCGGTAGGGTTAAAATAGAAAAAAATTGGTTGAGTTGAGGGCCCTAATGTGTGGATGGCTACAGTGGAGACTGCGAGTAATTAGAAAACCCCATTGAGACCATACGAAACACAACCGGCAAGATATTTCCTACGGTGCTACTGCTCACTACGTATGTTGTGCTTTGTTCTCTCAGAAATCACCGAGAACACTCCTGGGATCACATCCGAACAGAAGACAATCGCCTACAGCTGTCGAAGGTATGCGCGGGAGTTCTCTACCAATCTATCTTGTTGCTGAAGATCATGCTTGCAACCAAACGTGTTGAGAGATCTCCTAACCAAGGGGCAAATTTCAGTTCTTGATGGGTGAGGCAATGGGGGTGGACGAAAACAAAAACGAAGGTTTTACGCGAACATGTAATTCAAGTACAGTATATGTAATTGCGTATGGAGAATTTTCTGCTAAATTGATTTGCCTATAGCTTTTATCAGCATAAGGCTAGCATATCAAGCCCTATGGGAGTGGTGTCACACACCCACCCCACTTGGAATCCCAATCTACCCGCTTTCATTACTGGCACTACCAGGCAACGTAACTTCGTAATACAACTTTCTCAAACTGCCGTATTTTATGTTCTACTACAGATTGGCAGCATGATACTGGCAGAGAGGGATCAGCTCCTGGTGTCGGTGCAACAGAACCTGGAGACTCGACACGTGTAGTATCCGCTGAGACGCCGGCATCTGCGTCCCACGACAGAGGTGCACGGCACGCGCTGTCAGGCAAAGGGCGATCACCATTGGGGAAAGCAGCCGACGGCGACGATGCTCCCCAAGACAGTGCACCGCAGCAGCATGGCCAGCAGCATACAGACCAGGCTTATAACAGTGCAAACACAGGCACTGGCGACATATCTCACAGGCAGGGAGCACACGCAGCATCAATGAAGCCCTCTTCCGCCGACTCCCAAACACAGCAGCCGAACAGCGCGGACAGTCCGAAGAAACGACGTCGCAAGGTCCGCAAACAGCTCTCGAAACCACCGCCGGGACCCTCCAAAACAACCCCTGCACAAGGCAAACTGCTAACATCGCGCACGAGCAAGACACAACCAGCGTCGGACCAGAAAGGCAACAGGAGAACGTCTGGAAACAAGACGGAGAGAAGAGCAGCTCCTCCAGCGGGCATCGGCAAGAAATCGTCATCGTCGGGACAGCTCGAGGTGCCGTCGGCCAGAGAAAGGACTAGCATGGATAAGTCCGTTACAAACACACGACGCGCTCCGCCAAGGAAGAGCGCTAGCATGGGACAAACGGAGCACAACTCAAGCGAACATTCCAAGACGGGTTCGCCATCCAGCACTACTCCACAACGGCCCGCCCACATACGATTCAAGAGCATAGCTCCGACCGACTTCACACTGAACACGAGCAGTCCCGGGCACCAAAACCCAGGCATCCATCAACAGCAGCAACACCAACAGCAGCAGCATTATCTTGACAGCCCGCAAGGCAACACTGCACATGTCCTTGGAGCCAACCACATTACCTTGGGGCTACAGAATGGAAGACGAGGTATGTATGTAACTGTTATGTGTGGTGTAGTGTCTGTCTCTTACGCACGGATTAGGCTCCAGAGTAGTGTTGTCTCCCATTGAGAACACAGTGCACTGACGAAATAATACTCATTCAATATTTCTGCCAGTTATTAACTCCAACACACTACACACTCACACCAAGACACCCCCCCCCCCCCATCCCACGCACACCGAAACACATGCATGTACGCACACACATAAACCCAAGTGCACACACAAACACACACACACATAAACACACACACACACACACACACACACACACATACATACACACACACACACACACACACACACACACAAAAACGCACGCACGCACACGCACACACACACACACACACACACACATACACACACAGACACACACACACACACACTGTTTCCTCTCTGTGTTTCTATCTGCCTGTCTCTCTATCCATCTCTATCCATGTATCTCTCTCTCACTCTCTCTCTCTCTCTCTCTCTCTCTCTCTCTCCCTCTCTTGCTTTCCTACCCTCGGTGCTATCAGATTCTTTACCAGTGATAAACAGTAGCAATCGTAGCCGACACAAGAGTGCAACTCAGCGAGACACCGCTAGTCAGGGCATACCGTCAACTGTTCTGGAAATTTCGTTTGACGACCAGAAGAAGCCTGTGTGAGTCTTGCTTGTCAGTATGTGTGTGTGTGTGGGGGGGGGGGGGGTGCGTGCGTGCGTGCGTGCGTGCGTGTGTGTGTGTGTGTGTATTTCTGTGTGCCGTTTGTGCATGCATGTGTCTCGTGTGTTTGGTCAATGCGTATCTCCTGTGCATCTGTTACCTATATGTGTTGTGTACACTCCAGGGTTACGAAGTGGAATCACGATGCCAACTATCTCCGCCAGAGAGCTCAGGCAGTTGACACGGACGCAGCGCAGCAAGTGGATGGGTTAGTTTCTTTTAGCATGCATGCGTGTGTCCATGTGTGCATGTAAGCGTATGTATGTGGATGTGTGGGTGGGTGTTCTGACCCAAAGTTCTATTCGCCATGCCAGATTTGCACGTCTCAGAAGCCCTGGATGTTACCAAATGCAGCTGCATAGCGAGCTTTGTTTCACGGTTCCAGTGAGACTTCGGTAGACTGAATTTTCCGCATCCGTAGGAACGCCACCACTCTCGAGAATCAAGGCGCGGATATGGCTTGTTTTGGTCGAATTCTCTCTCAGCAGCGTAGTCTGACCGGCTTGGCATGGCCTGGATCAAGCTAGTTCAGCTGAGCCTTGTGTAGGGTACCCCGTAAGAAGGCCTTAGGCCTGTGGGTATGCCCTATTAACAATTAATAAATATTTTTTTAAATAATAAAATAAGAATTGTCATGAAGTGTTATGTCTTTCACTACCAATACCTTAGACATTGAGAAGGGCCGGTTCAGTGAGTGAGTGGCTTGGACCAGAAGCATATTCGAATTACCAAGAGTACATGAAAACCAGAGTGTGCAGCTTGGGGCTTTTTCTACTATGGGTGTCTGTCACGGCGGAATTCCGTGATTGCATCGTAATTATTAATTTTGGTGCAGATCCGAGGCGGGAAGTGGCGTAGAGCGTGCAACCGAGCTGCAGTTGTGCAGAAAGAGACCTGCTTGAATCCTGCTTGTACGCACCACATCACTAAAATGATGTAATCACGGAATTATGCCGTGACAGCAACCCATCTGAGCTGCACACTCTGGTTTTCATGTACTCTTCGATTTACTGATTCTCACATCTTGTGTTCTCCAACTAGACAAACACGCAAGAGACCAACAGTGGGTGGAAGCACAACTAGTCGGCAGGGTGCCGCCGCTCGTGAGGACAACGGCCATAATGTCGTGCTGCCGTCGCTAGGCAACAGGGCCAATCCTGCTGCCGTGGCAACTGCGGTACCAGCGGGAGGAAGCAGTTCAGACGGTACGCATGTGCTGGTCTTGCTCACAAATACCTAAGTTGATGAACACCTGACTGACTACCTGGAGTAGAACATCTGTTTTTGACAACTGTATGACATACCCACAGGAGTATTAGCCTTCTTAAAGGGGAAGTTAAGGCAAAAAATAAAATTTCACCAGTTGTAGTCTTCGGGGTGCTGAGTCGAATGGTCTTGGTGCGAGAAAGCTGAGACGCTCCCTTCCTACTTGAATCCCAATCGAACTCGCGCACTTCCACCGAAACTGGGTGACTGCGCCCTACTAGATGGGGATTTGTATGCAAAATGTCACTAAAAGCGCCATTTCGTTCTTATAAAAGCATGGATGACCGCGATTGGCCCATATGTTGTAGTCTTTTGGACGCTGAGTCGACTGGTTTTGGTCCGAAAAGGCTGCGATGCAGCGTTCCTCCTTTATTCCCAATCGAACATGGTTGAACAAGCGGTCACGTGCTCCTGCGTACACCAGTCACCTGGTCACCGTGCCTGCAGGGTACAACTTACTAGCCTGTTTGACCTTTTTTGGGTGCAGTCCTGTCACTCGAGTTTAACTCGAGTTGAACCTTGGTGTGAAAGTTGTCGCCTGCTGGCGTGGTGACCAGGTGATTTGGGCACACAGGAGCACGTGATCGCTTGTTCAACCATGTTCGATTGGGAATAAAGGAGGAACGCTGCATCGCAGCCTTTTCGGACCAAAACCAGTCGACTCAGCGTCCAAAAGACTACAACATATGGGCCAATCGCGGTCATCCATGCTTTTATAAGAACGAAATGGCGCTTTTAGTGACATTTTGCATACAAATCCCCATCTAGTAGGGCGCAGTCTTTAGTCGATCTCATGTAATAAGGCAACACTGCCTGTTTGTTATTCGACGTTAAATAAACCAATCCAATCCAATCCAGTCACCCAGTTTCGGTGGAAGTGCGCGAGTTCGATTGGGATTCAAGTAGGAAGGGAGCGTCTCAGCTTTCTCGGACCAAGACCATTCGACTCAGCACCCCGAAGACTACAACTGGTGAAATTTTATTTTTTGCCTTAACTTCCCCTTTAATTAAGATGCTCGTTATTTCTGACGTGACGCGAAAGTTCAGCTCGCGTTATTTGGCTCGCGCGTCGAAAAACAATGGGAAGTGACCTGCAGCTCACCTCGAAATTTGCAGTTTTACGCCAAATTTGGCGTGAAATTGATGTGATAATGCGCGTCACGTCGGAAATAACGTGCATCTTAACCTCTCTAATCCTAGGGAAAGCCACACTGACTTCTTTGGTGTGGATTACCAGTGTTTGTAGTGACGCTTGTACTCCGGTAGTGGTTGTCGATAGACAGTCGTATATTCTATGATGAATATAATTCTAGTCTCAGTACACAGGTGGTGATAAAATGCAGGCCATGATTCATGTGAGAATAGTTTGGTACGGTCTCACCTATTGCCTTGGTGCTCCACACGTCGAAGTAGTAAATTTATGACTTCGACTAGCACCACCCAGGAGGTCATGCAACTGTGTTGTCTTTCCTATGGGCGTTTGCACGGCACGCTACCTTCATTAATCATGGTGACAGGTGTGTGAAGTTGGTTGGTACAAATCTGAATACGTACTCTATTTCTTTGTCACCATAATTATTTACATGATGTCATTACAGACGGAACACCCCCGGCCAGAGTTCGCTCCAAGACTCTCGGACAACACACAGTAAGCTGCCACCGTCGCTGATGCTGGTGTTGTCATGATTGTTGTGGTCGTTATTGTTTCTGTTGGTTCTGCTCGTGCTGCCGCTGCCACAGCCACGAACCGCCGTTGTTGCTGTTGTTGCTCTGCTGCCATTGACTTTGGTTCCGCTATTGCTGCCACTGATGGTTGCATTGTGAAAGAAACTCTGAGTTGCTACGAACTCTGTAAACTGACTTTGCGCCTTTTTTGTGTAATAGTGCTCCACATTGTTGTGTTGAGCCCTCTCCGCTGGTTAAAGGGAACCTTTTTCCTGATCTTGAACTATGCGTTTATGTGCTATTGCAATGACTGTGCCCATTGTGCTCAACAGTCCACCTCCAGTCTGGTGTCGTCGCAGCTAGCGCTCATCTCATCACGCAGCTCTCTACATGAGAGGTCGCCCAAGGCACACCGACTCAACGTTGGCTGCGTGGAACTGCCGCACATAGATACCGGTAAGATCCGCCGTAAGAGATTTCCACCTTTTCCCGATTATATGTCGCACTCCATAATACGTTGCACCCCCACTTTCAGGTCTCAGCCATGTTGTCTAAGGGTTTACTGGGTGTTAGCGGCCGTCGTGAGTTCCCTTCGGGAAAGTACACGATAATTTACTTTTTTACTTTATTCACATAAGGAGGATATCACACTTGATTGTAAGTCGAATTCACTTCTCTGCCCGAGAAGTTTTAGTGTGAAAAGGTGCAACTTCTATTGGGGGAAATACAGTACCTGCAGTTAGAGTCAACCCGAGTAAACGCTTTCTTAGCAGCTCATTGCCCATGGTCCATTTCAATCCAGAG